TTCTTGTCATAAAAAGTTGATAAATGGTTGTCTTCGGGAAGATTTTGGAGGCAAGAGGTAGTGAAGATGATTCCTCTTCTTGTGTTGTTCCAATCTATAGAGAGATAATTCTCAAGCCTTGTCATGTGTTCCTTGACATCCTCGGCATGCATGAGATAAATGCTAACTTTTCCCTCCTTGTCATATTCAATCTTGGTTATGACATCATCCATGTATGCCTCTCGGATATCATGTACAACCCGGTCTCTCTTGCCCTTGAACTTCCTCAAATACTTGACCTTGTTTCCATTCCCCATTAGATGCCCATCCTCATAATACCTATCAAGATAGTGTCTATATACACACGTCATGAAGATATCCTCAAAAGCATAGCCCTTTTTCCTCTTTACAACTCCGGGCAGCCTTTCAAAGCACTCTTTGGTGAACCAAACCCCCAGTTCATTGTCTTTGACCTCCCTTAAAAGATGATCTATTCGGACCATAGGTTCTTCTACCTCATCTATGTGTTTGACTACATATTTGGGTTCCCTTGCCTCCTCCGTCTCCATTTGAGTGATCACCTCATCAATGAAAATGTTATCAAAACCTTTGATAACTCTCGGTTCCACCTCTTCCTCCTCCTCACTTGATTGATTTTCATCCCCGGTGGCATCCTTTTCCTTGGCTTTTGCTTGCTTAATACTCTTGTTCCTTTGGTCCACTTTGTTCAACCTTCTTTGCTTAAGGAAAGGGTGAACAATCTGCCCTTTGCCCTTGTTAGATGTCTCGGCTTTGTTCCCCACATTTGCCCCCTCACCTACCATCTTCATTTTTCCCTTTGCCGCAGCATGCACATTTCCTTTTGCCACGGCTTGCACAGGTTCTTCACTTCCCTTTGCCGCGGCATGTGAAGGCTCCTCCCTATTCCCTTCCTCAATCATGGTGTCTTCTTTGTTTACTTCTTTCCCTTTAGCTTTCTCCTCCCTTTCCTTCTTTTCAAGCTCGGCTAACCTCTTACAATGGAAGCAATAATTCGGAAAGGTCTCATACCTCACTTGTTGTTTGTGTAGCTTTCCATTCGGCATAAGGATTGGAATTACAAGAGGGGGTGGTTTTGAAGCATCCACCTCAGTCAACACTCGTGCGAAGTTTGATCTTGCTTTCTCAAGTGTCACTCTATCCGTAGTCAAAGGGATGCCTACTTTAGATGCCACCTCGCTTATAATATCCTCTTCCCAAATTCTCATAGGAAGATGAGGGAAAAGAACCCATATAGGTACTTTTAAGAATTCCTCACCGTCCATAGAGAAGTCTTCCGAGAGCACCTTTAAGTTGATTGTTTTCCCAAATAGAGAATAAGGACCCTCCATTAGCACTTTCTCCCTATCTTGTGCATTTTGAAATCTAAAGATCACCCACCCTTTGTCATGGGATCTAAACCGGCAAGGAACAGCCCACTTTTGCACCAAAGTTTGAATATTTTTGAGTCCGGGGAACCTCCCATCAAAATAAGCCACCAAACAATATCCCCATAGTTCGATCATAGTAGCAAGCTTCCGGGTTCTAAGGTCAATAACATCGCCTGTTGGCTCAATGTATCTCAACTTCATACCTTTGTCCGACTACCTATTGTCTTTAAAGAGTGATGCAAAAGCCTTCTTGGGTTGGGTTTCACCGTGGACAAGAGTTTTGCCCAATGCCGCGGCATAAGGTGCATTAGGGTCAAAAGAGGTGCCCTCGGTTTGTTTGGTCATAACCACAGCCTTGCCTTTGGGGTCCTTCACCTGCTCTTGAGTTTGTTCATCACTAGCATTGGCAATCTTCTCAACAACACTCTCGGTAGTATGCATAACAATTGAATTTTCAACATTACTTTCAACAATGGGCTCAATATTAGGCATAACATTTACAATAGCATTAACCTCCTTCATAGATACAAGCGTAGTAACCTCATTTTCAAGAATATCTTCATTGACAACATCACTCTCGGTATGCATCACTAGAGGTTCAATTGAGGGTAGATCATTCCCATTGACAAGATTTTCAATTCCGGGGCTTTCAATCGCAACAATAGGTGTCTCATGCGTTACAACCATATTCACGCTTGTTTCAAGAATTGGTGAGGAACTTACCTTTTCAATCTCTTCAAGGTTTGAAGAAGAGTCCTCGGCCACCATGGCATTTGTGTGTTCTCCAACATCTATCTCATTTTGTTGGTTCACCCCCTTCGATTGCATCTCTTCTTCCTTATTTTGAGCTTTCACTTTGAGTCGCGTAGATTGCATTTCTCTTCTTAGCTGTGGACTTTGGTTTCGGCGTTGTGTAACCGAAGTCCAAATCACATGGAAGGGGAAGCTAAGAGTAGCTACCCCCCCTCGCCGAGTTGCTAAAGATGTTTCCTTCTTTGTATCTCAAGGTCCGTACCAATGGAGTCCGGAGTGAATAGTAGCAAATTGTACGGATCTTCTTGATGATGAAACAAAGTGTATAAGGTTGATGCGCTCGACTAGGGGAAGCTAAATATGTGCTCAGAATTGAAATTGATCGAGTGGATTTGAAGGAACCAGCGTTGACTTGTTCGTGTGAATAGTAGTCGGCCGACTGGTTTTCGAGCTAAGAACTCAAAATACCTACAAAAAAGCTCAAATTTTTTGTAGATAACAGGCGTGGGTAGTGATGGAAGTGAAATCCAAGCTGAATCGTGAAGAATCGGTGAAGAAACGATGGATTTGCGTTGGGAAGAAACGAACTGCGGAAGTTCGCGAGAGAAACGAGCTCTCAACTCCTCCAACGGTTATCTTACCAAGTTCAATCATACCTATCTTACTGAGTTCTAAAAAATTTCTTCAGGCGCTGGTTTCAAAATATCAAGGGATGATTGCCTAATTACCAAACTACACTGTATTTACGCTAAAAGTGATCTATTTTCGCTGAAAACGCTAAATGATAGAGATAAGGCTAAGTATTTGTGACACTCATATCTTGCTGTGTGTTTATCCGTTTGGAGCGTATTATATCTCGTTGGAAAGATCTTACCGAGTTCTAAAACTTGTCTTCAGGCTCTGGTTTCAGAATATCAAGGGATGATTGCCTAATTACTAAAATACACTGTATTTACGCTAAAAGTGTTCTATTTTCGCTGAAAACGCTGAATCATAGAGATAAGGCTAAGTATTTGTGACACTCATATCTTGCTGTGTGTTTATCCGTTTGGAGCGTATTATATCTCGTTGGAAAGATAGATCGGAGCTCTAAATCTATTGTTCCAACTTCATTTACAATGCATTAATTAAAAGTTACAGATTAACCATATATTCACAAATGTTTCTGATTTTACTCCGAACTCGTGTAGAATTTGATGCGATCATATCTTGCCCTATTTTGTGCCGTTGAAAGCGTTTAATATCTCGATGGAAAGCTCTTACCGAGTTTTAAAACTTGCCTTCAGGCGCTGGTTTCAAACTATCAAGGGATGATTGCCTAATTACTAAAATACACTGTATTTACGCTAAAAGTGCTCTATTTTCGCTAAAAACGCTAAATCATAGAGATAAGGCTAAGTATTTGTGAAACTCATATCTTGGTCTGTGTTTATCCGTTTGGATCGTATTATATCTCGTCGGAAAGATTGATCGGAGCTCTAAAGTTATTGTTCCAACTTCATTTACAATGCATTAATTAAAAGTTACAGATTAACCATATATTCACAAATGTTTCTGATTTCACTCCGAACTCGTGTAGAATTTGATGCGATCATATCATGCTCTATTTTATGCCGTTGGAAGCGTTCAATATCTCGTTTGAAAGCCCATACCGAGTTCTCAAACTTGTCTTCAGTCGCTGGTTTCAAAATATCAAGGGATGATTGCCTAATTACTAAAATACACTTTATTTACGTTAAAAGTGCTCTATTTTCGCTGAAATCGCTAAATCATAGAGATAAGGCTAAGTATTTGTGACACTCATATCCTGCTGCGTGTTTATCCGTTTTGGGCGTATTATATCTAGTTGGAAAGATAGATCGGATCTCTAAAGCTATTGTTCCAGCTTCATTTAAGTTGGATTAATTAAAAGTTACAGATTAACCATATCTTCACAATTGTTTCTGATTTCACTCCGAACTCGTGTAGAATTTGATGCGATCATATCATGCTCTATTTTGTGCCGTTGAAAGCGTTTAATATCTCGTTGGAGAGATCTTACCGAGTTCTAAAACTTGTCTTCAGGCGCTGGTTTCAAAATATCAAGGGATGATTTCCTAATCACTAAAATACACTGTATTTACGCTAAAAGTGCTCTATTTTCGCTGAAAACGCTAAATCATAGAAATAAGGCTAGGTATTTGTGACACTCATATCTTGCTGTGTGTTTATCCGTTTGGAGGGTATTATATCTCGTTGGAAAGATAGATCGGAGCTTTAAAGCTATTGCTCCAACTTCATTTACAATGCATTAGTTAAAAGTTACAGATTAACCATATATTCACAAACACTGAGCGAGATATGAGTGTTACAAATACTTAGCCTTATCTCTACGATTAGGCGTTTTCAGCGAAAATAGATCACTTTTAGCGTAAATACAGTATATTTTAGTAATTAGGCAATCATCCCTTGATATTTTGAAACCAGCGCCTGAAGACAAGTTGTAGAACTCGGTAAGATATTTCCAACGAGATATTAAACGCTTTCAACGGCAAAAATTAGAGCAAGATATGATCGCATCAAATTCTACACGAGTTCGGAGTGAAATCAGAAACATTTGTGAATATATGGTTAATCTGTAACTTTTTATTAATGCATTGTAAATGAAGTTGGACCAATAGCTTTAGAGCTCCGATCTATCTTTCCAACGAGATATAATACGCTCCAAATGGATAAACACACAGCAAGATATGAGTGTCACAAATACTTAGCCTTATCTCTATGATTTAGCGTTTTCAGCGCAAATAGAGCACTTTTAACGTAAATACAGTGCATTTTAGTAATTACGCAATCATCAATTGATATTTTGAAACCAACGCCTGAAGACAAGTTTTAGAACTCGGTAAGATAAAAAACGGTTCTAGTGAGAGTTGAGAGCTCTTCTCTCTAGAGTGACCCCTCCGGTCATCTCTATTCTCCCACGCCGTTTTTACCGCCGTCCACAGTGGTGGTGGCGCCGCCGGAGCCCTCCCGGCTCCGGTGGGGTGGCTGGTCTTTATTCTAAGGTTGATTTTTGGAAAGTTTCCCACTTCGGTGAGATATGTATGGGTTATTGTGTGGTTTTGTTCGAAGAAGTGCTGCAGCTGGTTTTCTTCTCCAATAAACTACCTGTCCGCAGCTTCAAGCTACACCCGGGGGTGCTGGATTATTTGCCTCGCTGAGTGACGGCCGTGGGAGGACTGACTTGGTGACGGAAAGGCGAGGGGGTGGTCTAGTGTGCAACGGGTTTGGTGGATGGCGTGCGACTGGGTTTTTGTTGGGCGGAAGGACACTGGTAGTACGACTGGTTCTGTGTTGTCGGTGCCGGAGGAGTAGTTCGATGGATTCCTTCGCGATTGAGGTAAGTCCGACTACCCTCTACCATTTGATGGATTTTTGTGGGACTTAAGGTTTCTGTTAACGTCTGGGTTTCGCCGGAGAAGACGACTGGCCACGAGGAGTCTGAACCGCCCGTCGTTGTGTTTTTCCTTTCTGTGGATTCCGGCTACTGTCATTCCGCCTCGACACGCCGTCTACCAATGCCGTTGGGGGCCGCCGGGGCTCAACGGGGGTGGAGGTGGAACGGGGAACTTTGGTTTGGCTTGGGTTACTATTCCGGCTTGAATGAAAATGGTTCTCTCTGTTTACCCTTCAGTCGCCGGTCGCCGGAAAGCTTTGGTGGTGCCGGACCAGGTGGGGTGGCTGGGACGGGGGGTGGGTTCTGTTCCGGTTTCGAATTGTTTGATGTTTCATTTGCCTCTTCTCGCCGGTCGCCGGAAGGTATGGAGTCGCCGGGCAATGCTGGGGCAGGGGGCGGGGTTTACGCGATGTGGACAGGTGGGGTTTGGACAGCCTGTCAGGATGTTTGACCAATTTTGAATTTTGAAATTCCAATGCTGGTGCGGCGCTGGAGTTGCGATGGGAACCCTAGGAGACTGGGCCGGCTTTGGACTTTGGGATGGTTGACTTGGGCCTTTTCTTGGGCCGCGTTTCTTGCTGCTGGACTGCTCACATGCAGGAAAGCTGTTATGTTTGATGCAGGGAAGGGACTTAGTTGGGCCTGGACTGCTGGAGTATAATTTTTGCTGGACTTCCCAATGATGGGCCTTCATTGGTTCGGACTTGGCTTTGATTTGTTTTTGATGAATGAGTCGGGGACTGTCCCGTACCATTCTTGGATTATTGTTTTGTGATGTATTTTGAACTATAAAAAAAAAATCCTCTCTCCCCCCTACCGGGGAGGGGGGTAGACGGTAGATTCTATTTTAGGTTAGCTTGCTAGCTTAGATTGATCTTTTGATACATGTAATTGTTATTTTTCTGGATATATATATTTACATTTTATCCAAAAAAAAAAATAGAACTCGGTAAGATCTTTCGAACGAGATATTAAACTCTTTCAACGGCACAAAATAGAGGAAGATATGATCGCATCAAATTCTACACGAGTTCGGAGTGAAATCAGAAACATTTGTGAATATATCGTTAATCTGTAAATTTTAATTAATGCATTGTAAATGAAGTTGAAACAATAGCTTTAGGTTGTTTTTACTTGGACTGTAATTCGTCCCAGACTAGACCAGACCAGAACAGACCAAACCAGATCAGACCAGACTAAAACAGACCAGACCAGACCACACCATATTTTATTATTATTATTATTATTATTATTATAATTAGTATTATTATTATTATTATTATTGTTATTATTATTATTATTATTATTTTTATTATTATTATTATTATTATTATTATTATTATTATCATCATCATCATTATTATTATTATTATTATTATTATTATTATTATCATTATTATTATTATTATTATTATATTATTATTATTGTTGTTGTTGTTGTTGTTGTTATTTTTATTATTTTTATTATTTTTATTATTGTTATTATTGTTATTATTGTTATTATTGTTATTATTGTTATTATTATTATTATTATTATTATTATTATTATTATTATTAGTAGTAGTAGTAGTAGTAGTAGTAGTAGTAGTAGTATTAATTTTATAACGAATAGACAAAGTTTTAGCGTGCTGGAAGGAATATTATTATTTTTAATTATAAATGAATAAAATATAATTAGTTATGGATTATAATATATATATAAAAATAAAATATTTACGCAAAACAAACCACACCAAAACAAACCAGACCAGACCAGACCAACAAATTACGGTCCAAGTAAAAACATCCTTAGAGCTCCGATCTATCTTTCCAACGAGATATAATACGCCCCAAACGGATAAACACACAGAAGGATATGAGTGTCACAAATACTTAGCCTTATCTCTATTATTTAGCAATTTCAACGAAAATAGAGCACTTTTAGCTTAAATACAATGTAGTTTAGTAATTAGGCAATAATCCATTGATTTTTTGAAACCAGTGCCTGAAGAAAAGCTTTAGAACTCGGTAAGATCTTTCAAATTCGACACGAGTTCAGAGTGAAATCAGAAACATTTGTGAATATATGGTTAATCTGTAACTTTTAAATAATGCATTGTAAATGAAGTTGGAACAATAGCTTTAGAGTTCCGATCTATCTTTCCAACAAGATATAATACGCTCCAACCGGATAAACACACAGCAAGATATGAGTGTCACAAATACTCAGCCTTATCTCTATCATTTAGCGTTTTCAGCGAAAATAGAGCAGCTTTAGCGAAAATACAGTGTATTGTAGTAATTAGGCAATCATCCCTTGATATTTTGAAACCAGCGCCTGAAGACAAGTTTTAGAACTCGGTAAGATCATTGCAACGAGATATTAAACGCTTTCAACAGCACAAAATAGAGCAAGATATGTTCGCATCAAATTCTACAAGAGTTCGGAGTGAAATCAGAAACATTTGTGAATATATGGTTAATATGTAACTTTTAACTAATGCATTGTAAATGAAGTTGGAACAATAGTTTTAGAGATCCGATCTATCTTTCCAACGAGATATAATACGCTCCAAACGGATAAACACTCAGCAAGATATGAGTCTCACAAATACTTAGCCTTATCTCTATGATTTAGCGTTTTCGGAGAAAATAGAGCACTTTTAGCGTAAGTACAGTGTATTTTAGTAATTAGACAATCATCCCTTTATAATCTGAAACCGGAGCCTGAAAACAAGTTTTAGAACTCGGTATGATCTTTCCAATGAGATACTAAACGCTTTCAACGGCACAAAATAGAGAAAGATATGATCGCATCAAATTCTACACGAGTTCGGAGTGAAATCAGAAACATTTGTGAATATATGGTTAATCTGTAACTTTTAATTAATGCATTGTAAATGAAGTTGGAACAATAGCTTTAGAGCTCCGATCTATCTTTCCAACGAGATATAATACGCTCCAAACGGATAAACACACAGCAAGATATGAGTGTCACAAATACTTAGCGTTATCTCTATGCTTTAGCGTTTTCAGCGAAAATAGAGCACTTTTAGCGTAAATACAGTGTATTTTAGTAATCAGGCAATAATCCCTTGATATTTTGAAACCAGCGCCTGAAGACAAGTTTTAGAACTCGTTATGATCTTTCCAACAAGATATTAAACGCTTTCAACGGCACAAAATAGAGCAAGATATCATCGCATCAAATTCTACACGAGTTCGGAGTGAAATCAGAAACATTTGTGAATATATGGTTAATGTGTAACTTTTAATTAATGCATTGCAAATGAAGTTGGAACAATAGCTTTAGAGCTCCGATCTATCTTTCCAACGAGATGTAATACGCTCCAAACGGATAAACACACAGCATGATATGAGTGTCACAAATACTTTGCCTTATCTCTATGATTTAGCGTTTCAGCGAAAATAGAGCACTTTTAGCGTAAATACAGTGTATTTTAGTAATTAGGCAATCATCCCTTGATATTCTGAAACCAGAGCCTGAAGACAAGTTTTAGAACTCGGTAAGATCTTTCCAACGAGATATTAAACCCTTTCAACGGCACAAAATAGAGCATGATATGATCGCATCACATTCTACACGAGTTCGGAGTGAAATCAGAAACATTTGTGAATATATGGTTAATCTGTAACTTTTAATTAATGCGTTGTAAATGAAGTTGGAACAATAGCTTTAGATATTAGATCTATCTTTACAACGAGATATAATACGCTCCAAATGGATAAACACACAGCAAGATATGAGTGTCACAAATACATAGCCTTATCTCTATGATTTAGCGTTTTCAGTGAAAATAGAGCACTTTTAGCGTAAATACAGTGTATTTTAGTAATTAGGCAATCATCCCTTGATACATTGAAACCCGCGCCTGAAGGCAAGTTTTAGAACTCGGTAAGATCTTTCCAACGAGATATTAAACGCTTTCAACGGCACAAAATAGAGCAAGATGTGATCGCCTCAAATTCTACACGAGTTCGAAGTGAAATCAGAAACATTTGTGAATATATGGTTAATCTGTAACTTTTAATTAATGCATTGTAAATGAAGTTGGAACAACAGCAAGATACGAGTGTAACAAATACATAGCCTTGTCTCTAAGATTTAGCGTTTTCAGCGAAAATAAAGCACTTTTAGCTTAAATACAGTGTATTTTTGTAATTACGCAATCATCAATTGATATTTTGAAACCAACGCCTGAAGACAAGTTTTAGAACTCGGTAAGATCTTTCCAACGAGATATTAAACTCTTTCAACGGCACAAAATAGAGGAAGATATGATCGCATCAAATTCTACACGAGTTCGGAGTGAAATCAGAAACATTTGTGAATATATGGTTAATCTGTAACTTTTAACTAATGCATTGTAAATGAAGTTGGAGAAATAGCTTTAGAGCTCCGATCTATCTTTCCAACGAGATATAATACGCTCCAAATAGATAAACACACAGCAAGATATGAGTGTCACAAATACTTAGCCTTATCTCTATGATTTAGCGTTTTCAGCGAAAATAGAGCACTTTTAGCGTAAATACAGTGTATTTTAGTAATTAGGCAATCATCCCTTGATATTTTGAAACCAGCGCCTGAAGACAAGTTTTAGAAATCGGTAAGATCTTTCCATCGAGATATTCAACGCTTTCAATGGCACAAAATAGAGGAAGATATGATCGCATCAAATTCTACACGAGTTCGGAGTTAAATCAGAAACATTTGTGAATATATGGTTAATCTGTAACTTTTAACTAATGCATTGTAAATGAAGTTGGAACAATAGCTTTAGATCTCCGATATATCTTTCCAACGAGATATAATACGCTCCAAATGGATAAAGACACAGAAAGATATGAGTGTCACAATTACTTAGCCTTATCTCTATGATTTAGCGTTTTCAGCGAAAATAGAGCACTTTTAGCGTAAATACAGTGTATTTTAGTAATTAGGCAATCATCCCTTGATATTATGAAACCAGAGCCTGAAGACAAGTTTTAGAACTCGGTAAGATCTTTCCAACGATATATTAAACGCTTTCAACGGCACAAAATAGAGCATGATATGATCGCATCACATTCTACACGAGTTCGGAGTGAAATCAGAAACATTTGTGAATATATGGTTAATCTGTAACTTTTAATTAATGCATTGTAAATGAAGTTGGAACAATAGCTTTAGAGCTCCGATGTATCTTTCCAACGATATATAATACGATCCAAACGGATAAACACACAGCAAGATATGAGTTACACAAATACTTAGCCTTATCTCTATGATTTAGCGTTTTCAGCGAAAATAGAGCACTTTTAGCGTAAATGCAGTGCATTTTAGTAATTAGGCAATCAATACTTGATACTTTGAAACCTGCGCCTGAAGACAAGTTTTAGAAATCGGTAAGATCTTTCCAACGAGATATTAAATGCTTTCAACGGCACAAAATAGAGCAAGATGTGATGGCCTCAAATTCTACACGAGTTCGGAGTGAAATCAGAAACATTTGTGAATATATGGTTAATGTGTAACTTTTAATTAATGCATTGCAAATGAAGTTGGAACAATAGCTTTAGAGCTCCGATCTATCTTTCCAACGAGATGTAATACGCTCCAAACGGATAAACACACAGCATGATATGAGTGTCACAAATACTTTGCCTTATCTCTATGATTTAGCGTTTCAGCGAAAATAGAGCACTTTTAGCGTAAATACAGTGTATTTTAGTAATTAGGCAATCATCCCTTGATATTCTGAAACCAGAGCCTGAAGACAATTTTTAGAACTCGGTAAGATCTTTCCAAAGAGATATTAAACCCTTTCAACGGCACAAAATAGAGCATGATATGATCGCATCACATTCTACACGAGTTCGGAGTGAAATCAGAAACATTTGTGAATATATGGTTAATCTGTAACTTTTAATTAATGCGTTGTAAATGAAGTTGGAACAATAGCTTTAGATATTAGATCTATCTTTACAACGAGATATAATACGCTCCAA